ATACAACATATATACTTTTTGCAATTATTAGCTAGTTTAAACTATATTCAGTGAAATGTGAGGTACTATGGGCACTGAGCTCACTAAATAATACCACCGCCTCCTACATGGCAAAGTCTATATACGTAGTGCTCTGGGAGACACGAAATAAGAGTCGGATCAAAAAGTAAAATATAGGTGCATAATGGCATTATGTAATAAAGATTAGAATCGGGGAAAATATCAAACTTTATTCAGTAGTATAGGATGAGTCTCGGATAAGAGATGAGTATCCTTCAACATTATAGAAAGAATAGCGGTGTCCATTTTTTGCTGGGTTGGAAAACCCAAAAAATGTGTCGGATCAAAAAGTAAAATAAAAGGTGCACAGTGGCACTTAGTAACAAAGATTATATGAAAGTCATTAAATTTCATTTAGTGGTGTAGGATTGATCGATTGATTGATTGTATATTGCTTATGTCCCACTCGAGAATTTTTCACTCATATGGAGACGCCACCATTTGCCGGTGGAGACCTGCAAATTTTGTCCTATACACGGCACTCGAAATCCAGAGACGGCCATTGAGCGGGGGGGGGGGGGTCTTTTTCGTGCCAGCACCTACTGCGACACGGGACCTCGGTTTATACGGTCTAATCCGATGAACGGTCTCCACGTCCCACAGTGGGATTCGAATCCGCGATGTAAAGATCAACTCTTTACTTCACGACTCTAGAGCAGACGCTCTAACAACTGCACCACGCTGGCGACAGAGTGGTACATGTATGAGAAGAGTTGCGGTAAAGAGATGGGTACCCCATTAGGCAGGTCGCAGTCAAATGGCCTTCCGATCACGGAGCGAGCGCTGTGTTGAATCCTCCCTATCACGAAGCGATAGATGTAGCCCTCCCACTAGCCTGTTCCTTTTGGAAGTTGTTCCTTAAACACCAATCTAATTAAAATTAGATCTTCCATCCGCTCCCCGATTTTTTTTATATCGCAAGATTGCCTTAAACACCTTCTTCAGATTACAAGCGCATTTGTAACCAAATCAGAGAACCAGACCATAAATAAACAAAATCTTGGAAAAAGAAGATGAATCCTTTCAACAGCATTAAACGTGTACGTGTATCTCATGGAAAAGTTTTAATTAAAAAAATCCTTACTTATTAAAACATTAAATTATAAGAAAGAATTCCAGGGACCACTCCAATTGTCCGTCGTGTAATGCTCCACTATCATCGGCCCCGTGGGGATCCGGGTTAGAATAGGTCCTAAGTACCCCTTGCTTGTCGTAAAAGGCGACTAAATGGGGCGGTCCTTCGGATGAGACCGTACAGTGTATAAACCGAGGCCCCGTGTCACAGCAGGTGTGGCACGATAAAGATCCCTCCCTGCTCAAAGGCCGTAAGTGCCGAGCATAGGCCTAAATTTGCAGCCCTTCACCGGCAATGGTGACGTCTCCATATCAGTGAAATATTCTAGAGAGGGACGTTAAACGGTATATAATCAATCAATCAATCCACTATGCTCGACCAAAGCCGAGCACGAAAAGGACAGTAGAAAGGACTGTTGAAGGTCATCAAAACGTTTGATTCCTACTTCCTGTTCCCTAGATTAACCTTGGAAACAGAGGACATAGTTCTTCATTCAATATAACAAGGATCTCTGTACAAACAGAACTTACTTTATGCAAACAACATTTTGATTATGTTTTTATACCAATCAAGGATAAGTCAATTTTTAAACACTTTGTTTTAGTGTTAGCAAACATGTGGAAGTAGTCGGTATGAATAGGGCATATTTTGCAATTCAAATTTTATTGGAGTACCTCCTAATACTACTGAACAGCTTTGTAAAATGTAGGCGCAGAATCGGTGCGGAATATGGAATCTTGCACTGAAATATGTACACAAGCATATTTAGAGAAATGCCTGTCCCCTTCTCTAAATTATAATATTCTAACCAGTCAAGATATTTATATCACACAGTACACCTCGGTCGATTCGTACGTCATCTTTTGGTGAATTTACAGGTGATGGAATCAGGCTAGGTTTTGACGAATGGTTTAATATAACGATTTGACTTTTATTTTCTTTTGTTTTAAGAATGTATAATTACCGAAATTGACGTTTTGCCTAAACGTGCATACTGTTTAAATGTTCTTCAATATAAGTATACAATACTTATGTTCCTACAGTGTCCCAGGTGTATCTGCTGGCGTTCACGTGGAAAATGGCCGATTATTGGACAAATATTGTAGGAGGATAATAATTTACAAGTAATATTGAATATCATAATTGAAATTTACTTAACATCAATAGGATTTTGTTTATTTTACTTTATATGAAAATAGACATCTTGTCTGTACTTTTAAATGAACAATTAAACTTTGTTGTGTTTTCGCTTTCAACGCAATGACTTGGAGCCAAATGACGACCTATAACGTTGTTTTGCCAAATAAAGAGTACTCTTTAGTAAACTGAATTAATGCTTAAACTGTTGCCCTAATACTCTTTTGGGGCTTAAAGTACCTGTACAGGCCAAACTATGTGTAGTTTGTATCAAATGCATGCTGAAAAAGAAAGGAAACTTAGAAGCCAAATATATGTTATTTTCCTAGATATATTCTCTTCAAAACTTTATAAAAAATAATTTTCGATCGAGAGCATATTGAAACCATTTACTATAGTAAGGTTTGTGTAGTCGCCTCTCTGTGTTGTTAAACATACGAGGAATAGAATTTTCTTCACCGACTGCATGGGCATGTGGGCTTAAGTATGCAATACTTTAAAACATCTAACCCTGATTAACTTGGATATATTATAATAATATTGCTTGATTACATGGTAATTTTATTGCACCTAAAAAAGAGGTGCATATGAAAAATACTATTTTCACTTTTTACCTCACCCCCGCTCTAAAAATCGTCTATTGAGATATATTGTATAAATATTGTGAATATAATATAAATTTTATCGACGAGTTTGTTCGTTTGAAATAAACCCCAATATTTTAAAAACTTTTCACGATTATAGTCAGTTGCAGGGCAAAATTTTTCATTTATAAATTATGTTTTAACATTCAGAATTGAATTCAAAATGGATTTTTTTAACGTAACAGAACTCTTTTTTCACAAAAGTTTAATATTTGAACGTTATTTTGATAAAAGAGAGATAGCGTTACATCATTTCTAAATTTTATTTGAAGATGGTTAATCGAAAACTGTTTGCATTATGGAATGAAGCCATGGTACAAACTAATAAGTATCAGATTAATCATGTTATATGCTCCCGATCGATGATGTAATATAATCGTGTAATTCATATTAAAATACGACCATATTGACAGAGGCGTAATGTCAATGAGAATCTAATTTTACGGCAATATTTGGTCATCTTTTTCTTGGTCAAACACTCAGATGGCGAGATCAAATTGAGGTAATTTAATTTTTTTTTAAAATTGGACCGTGTTTTAGAGATAAAGTGTCAACAGAGAATAATGATTTATTTATTCAGAGAGAGAGAGAGAGAGAGAGAGAGAGAGAGAGAGATTTCTCAAAAGGTACGAAATCCCCAATATTCATCTAAAGTCAAGTTGTATTTTTAAAGCGCTGAGCCTGTTGGTTCGAATCCCCCTGTTCTTGGACTATTTAGGAGGTTAAGTGTTATAATAATAAATAACCCTCCATTTTTTCTTAACCTGTTTAATAATTTAATTAATTTTCTATGTACAATCACATATCGATCACCTTAATGTAAAGACAATTTTCTCGAAATATATCTAATAAATTTCATTGGGAAAATACTAGTATATCAGCCGGGCCAGCAAGATTAGTTTCCTGTCAAAGAAAGGTCTACTCATCTTAACTTCATGATTGAAATATAGATAAAATTTGAAACACGATTCCCATTATTGTGTTGACCAATCTTAAGGTAGCTTATTCCTAAGGTCAAACATCAGAGAATCGATGCTAAAAATAAAATCACAAAAGCAACTTAACGTCGGACAAAAGGTTAAGCTGAAAATGTGGTGTTTGAACTACACAATAACAGGGGTATGTTTTAGGGTACAGAGGAGTCATTTGATCCTGCTATAAACCGATCATGTGTTTGCTCAGTGTAGTGACAATGATACAGTAATTTATTCCCTATCTGTCGCGACTTCATAGTGATTTGGCATTGTTCAAGCAAAATAGCTTTTATGTTTGTTGTTTTAATATTTTGGTACATTTTTGTTAACATAAATGAAAAATTTAACTTTTTTAAATCACATATTTTTTTTTAAATTGAGCATTGATCTCAACATCAAAGGTTTCGTCATTTATGAACCAATCAGTATGAACCAGTTCAGGATTTCAGACATGGATGTATAATTAACACTTTTAAAATAACTCACAAACGTAAAAAAAAAAATCACAGTAAAAATTGCTAAGGTTTCTATTAATAATATCTAAGTGTGGCTCAAGCGTCTGCATGCCACACATATAAACTATAACTCTATAATGAATAAAGCTTTACATGTTGGGGCACATTTTTGACTTGATCCACATCTTAATGAAGTGGGTAAATGTTTTTGCGAGAGTATCACCGGTGCCAAATGGAAGAAGAGCAATTTCCGGTGTACATTGTACATATAAAATGTCCATGTAGTCATGCGACGATCTTTTGTTTACAACGTGGATTGAACCAATAACAAATCTGGCAATGTCAAGTGTCCCAATCAAACATATAATGGAAGTTAATTTGGAGACTTTGTGATCGGTCACGAGAAACGGTCTGTCAACATGTCCCAATGTTTTTGTTTGCTTAAACCTATCTTTCATTATGGAGCATCTGACATCTTGGAACTCTGACCACTTAATATGCGGTTCATTGTTTATTGGAGAGGTTCAATGTCGGTCATTATGGCCTCTTGAAATCCACATACCCCAGTATATGATACATTAAATTCCATTCCATAACAAAAATATTCGGGCAGTTTAGCCTTCACTTGAGAGAAATCAAGCACGGAATCCTTGAATGATTTTCAGAATTTTATTAGATAAACATACTGAATTCTTTTTTATGTGATGAAGATGATAATTCCCTGAGAATATTGTTTATAAACATGAAAAAATGTCTTCATGAAATATCTCTAATGAAGTAATATAAATTGGAAGTCGATATAGTAACATATAAATTTGATCTATACATGTCTATAACATTTACTGTTTAAAACAGTTGAAAGTAACCCTTTCAAATTATTTGTTGAAAAATTGGATGAAATTCTATGATTATGTATGCTTCAAAATTTTCTTCTTGAACGCAAAGAACATATTCTAAAAGAAATTCAAAATAACATAAAAAATCTATAAAACAAAAAAAAATATCACTAAAATAAATCACAGATATCTATAAACGTTCAGCACCTAGAAAACGTCTTTAAAATCAAAAACCGGTTTTTATCACAGGTATACGTACATTTTTGTTACTTTTTTTCACATTCATTACAACCCGTTGTACTATGAAGCAAAAACTCGTACATTAGTGTTTTTCAAATATCAACGAAAGTATTTCTCTTGATTTTGATTATTTCAAACGAATTTTTGTCATTTTTTATGACGAGTCTATATAATCTACTGGTTCCTCTTCAATAAAGCTGCCATCTGAATTAGAAAATGGGGGAGTACGGGACGGGGAGGGAGCTGTTGGACGGTCGGGGATATGCAACTGTTCGATTGGAGGAAGTTGTTTTCCTGGACGGTTTACTTTGGGGAGAAGATTCACATTCAAACCTCCTCTTTTCCGAATGTCTGTTGTTTGTCGAAACAGAAGCACATTTCCATTTAGATGATCAGCAAGTCCGTTGGATAAAGATTTGTTAAACAAGTTATCCCGAGTTTGTTCTCTCGTTAGGGTTAAAACTTCTTGTACATGGAGATCCTTCCTTGAATTTTTGGACTTATTACAGTAGACGGATGCTATCTCGTTATCCAGCAGTGTATCATCGTAGTCACTTGTGTCACTGTTTTTATCTAAAAATCCGGAATCTCGAAGGCCGGATGTTCCAATCTCCGGAAGTGGCACTTTTCGTTGAAGCCGCAAGTTTGTCGGTTGTCGTTCCGTAATGAACTTTACAAATTCCTCAGTATTTGCATCTGGTCTTCTATAAGCATAATTTCTCAAACTTGTAGATCGCTCAATCGTTATTTGAGGTTTTTGTGGCATTTTCATATTTTTGTTATTCATATGGCTGTGTTAGTTCTTCACGTATTATGTCCGTTCAGCGATGAAATCATTTATCGCATATATTTTATCACTGCAAAACACAAAAAAATTCTGCTCATTAAATATATCAGACAATGGAAATTATTCACAAGAAGTACTCATATTATGCTCGTTCTTTGTAAAAATCTTCTAAACTAAAGTGACAGAGGACATCTGTTGTCTTTTTCTACACATCGTGGGTACATACACACGACTCATTGCGAGAGTAAACAAGCCAGCGGAGGGCGGAGTGCCACGTTATTGATGAGACTACGTCGATCAGGCAGGCCTATAAAGGGAAACCCATCAGGCACTAGAAAATCCCTTTCAATGACTTTTCGCTGCTGATGTCTCGATATGGATGAATTTATTAATGAAGGTATAAATTCATCGTTAAAAAAGAAAGATCAAAGAGTGCTTATCCAGCGAACTTCTTATGCACTCACGATCCGAAGTCTAATTTGAACTGAATCTATTTTGTTTATTTAAAGTAATTTTAAAGGTTTGAACAAAGAAAAAGATAGGAATGCATTATATAAGGGAAGTGTAGAATGACCTATGCTACCATTGTTCTGACATATACAAGTTCCGTTTTAAACTAATCAGTTTTTAAAACGGACTCTATTAAACGTCAATAGATTTGGCTCCGCCCGACCTGACTTCTTTACATTTCTTCTTCACAATGGGCTCTACTATTTCGCATGGATGACATTAAGAACAAGTCATTTACAGCATTTATCTAAAGTTGTTCAGTTCTGATTAAGATCTATAAATAATACAACACTAAAATAATGGTGTTCCTGATGCACTCGGAAATTTGATCTGCTTTTGGTCGCAGAGTTTGAATGCTTAGATCATTATCATCCAAATGCATCACATTAATATTAATTTGATACGGCATTAAGGATCATTTTCTCAAAATCATTAATTGCACACAGAACCGCTTTTATTGTTGTGGTTGCACAATGTGTTTTAGAGATGCTTCCTTAGCACGCCTTTAGATGTACCCATTGACTAGGGGGTGGATCCAGAAGGGATGGGTTGTTAATGTTTGATTGGTAAATAATTTATCTATCGAGAGATTTCCATTGTATTTTTTTTTTTTTTACAAAGTTGATACCATGCCATTTCAAGGCACTACTTTCAATTGCAAATATACATGTTTTAAAGACAATGTGTCATGCATATGCAAAGGTATTGACAATGAGGTGAAGCATTTTTTCGAACAAAAAGACGAAATTTCCTTGGCTCCATTTTTCTTTTCTCCTTCTTGCTAATAACTGTTTGTAAGTTGAAGTATCTTTTGTCTTTTATTCAGATGTAAGGCCATGAATCCCTTTCTTTTGATTTTAGGAAGTGATAAAACCCATAAGAGGGCAGATAATTCTCTTTCAAGGTGCTGGGAGCGTCTAAGGGTAAAGTAATCATAGTTTGTAAAGTAAATATGCCTTTTGTGTATGGGAACTTTGTTTATTAGTTTTCGGTCTTTGTTTTTACAATAGCGTTTTAAAGTCCACATAGATTATACACAAGGTGGTTTTGCTGAGTATACAATAATGACATAATTTCGTTAGTCTACAGAGCTGAATTATGAAGAAAGGCAAACTGTTGAATAAGAGGTATTGTTCGAAATTGCCAAAGCAAATGTTCTCTAAAGAACATAAGTCTTACATATTGTCGCCATGTACTAGCACTCCACTCACTCCCAAGTTAAGTAACTCCGGTTGGTAAAATAATGTGACGTCATTTTATTGGACTGATTCGATCGAAAAAATTGTGAAGCCTTTTCTTTTAAAGTCAAGATTTGGCCTGCCTAGTTAATTTAAAATAGGTAAAGCACATAATGATAAAAATGCATTGAATAGTAATCGATGAACTTTCGGACAACTTTCAAGATAACAGTGTTAATTAACTAGACTAAAACGTGAATCCAGACCATTAATTGTGTTAATTACGACAACTAATGGGATTTCCACAATATGTCCTAAGCTTATCAGACAACTTTACCTCATAATTCAAAAGAAAGTTAAGATTTGTATGATTGTTACCTGCACGCTAATGAGGTATTCGTATATTTAAGCCCATTATTGTCAATAGACCAAAGGGATATTCTTTTCTTCTGAAGAGCCATTATACAGAAGATAAGACACGCTTGTAAAGTAAAAGTGAATTTTTACCATTATACAAATTTAGGTTATCAGACAAAACAACATTTACTTATTTTTCATACAATGGATAGGTACGCGAAAAAAATATTTCAGCTATAATTTTAAATTATTGCTTGATCCAATCCACACAGTTTTGCTCTGTATTAATAAGGGGAGCCAAAAATTGACGTTGGAGTTCCTATCCGTCAGTATAAATGTCACTATTTGCGTAAGATAAATTGATTTTTGAAACATAACACGATTAATTCGAGTTCCATCTGTTCTAGGTATAAATTATAAATTATATAAATTATATATAGTCTAAATAACGTAATAAAGTAATAGAGTGCAATATAAATGAATTCAGCTCATGATTAATTCCATCAGCTTATTTACTTTTTTCCATATGCACATTTCTACGTTCCTCATACATGTAAGTTTAAGTAAGATTAATAATTTTAAACCATTGCTCTCTCTCTCTCTCTCTCTCTCTCTCTCTCTCTCTCTCTCTCTCTCTCTCTCTCTATATATATATATATTTTGATAGCTTTATAGCAAGAATGTGACCTTGATCGTGTAGAAAAATAAAATAAACGTTAACGTCAACAGATTCTACGAAACGAAGGCGAAATATTATTGATAATAGACATTAAATATTCATATGAATGTAAATCAATATGGTTTGCTGAGAGTGATTACATCATACTAGTATCTAGCCTTTGCCAAGAAATAAAGGCCGCAGGGTCAAAGATCACAGGGAATAAGAGGTCAATAATATTTACTTACCCCTTATTGATATTATGTAAAGAAAGAGAGGGGGTTGAGTATTTAATGGCATTAAAATTTATATTGAAGATATTTACAGTACTGTGAGTATACAAAACTGAACTTTTTATAAGAATTACAAACAATACTTTATCTAGAAACACAAATAATACTTAAGGTAGACTAGAAACACAGAGAATATTATCTCTAAAAACTAAAATTTAAACCGCTATTGTAACTTGAACTACTAACAACACCGTAGCTGGACTAGAATAACAAATATTATTATGCTTCCTGTCAGTTTGTCTCTATATAACCCCTACCCTACTATTCTCGCATAGTGGTCTAAGGATTTATATAACGTAAGCATACTATGCCGAAATAGTGCACGGCTTAATTTATTGAAGAAAATTCTTCACTGCACACGCCGGGGATCGAACTCACGACCATGAGATTGTCAGATGCCTTATCGATTACGCCACAGAGACGATAACCAATTGATAGAATTTTATTATGTATATAATCTTAATTTATACAATTGACACAAGAAGGAGAAAATAGACTTATATTATTTGAAAACAGTTATATTATTCTAAGGAACCTTAGATTAATGTGTACAACAAAGATTCAAACTAATTACATACAGATCGTTAGATGAACTGATTTCATAGGGTCATTAAAACGCTTTTTTATATGACGCTTGATTGAAGGATGTAAAAGAAAATTATCAATGAGAATCGACGTCTGCAAACAAATAGGCCGAAGTCTTACTAACAAAACAGAAAATAAAGATGAGTTGCTTTGGGATTATCCCGACCTATTTAGAGAAAATACTAGTAACCAAAATAAGTAAGCATGCAACCAATTTTAGCATGAAGATTTTGAATGAGTTCTTGTAAGTGCGCTGTGTTAGCACCGATATTTTCAGGAAAAAGTCAAATGGATTGCCGCATAAATAATTACAACAGTCAGCATAATAATAACAATAGTGTTGCATTAACAGCCTAAATAGTAGGCAGGGTTTGACACATAGTACTCGGGCTCGTGCACCATGTGTCAAACCCTGCCTACTATTTAGGCATAGTACATGCATAATGCAACACTATTATATAAATATTATAACTAGATACACAAACAATAATGTAACTAGAAATACAAGCAATAACCAAGAAAAAAATAACCTATAGGTAATTTTAAAAATAATGAAAACTACAAAGCAGTGTTGTTACTATACAGATAACAATGATATTAAATTAGAATTAATTAAAACAGTATTGTAACTAGAATCATAAATGCTACTGTATGTAGAATATTATTTATTTCTTGCTGCAGTAATTTTTATGATTTACATTTTTTCCCTTCTAACACAATAACACTACTGTTTGTGATTCTTCTAATTACAATATTGTTTCTGATCTTCGTCTTCCTAACACAATATTTGTTATTCTAATAACAGAATTTCTGTGATTCTAGTCATCTTACAATGTTGTTTGGTATTTTAGTTACAGTATTACAGTATACATGTATGTTGTAATTTAGTCACAGTTTTCTTTGTCACTTTGTAGTAATTATAGTAAAGTTATTTTACCGATATAAGTCTTCTTACAAATTTGATTATTTTTTAGTTACAGCTATGTTTATGATTCTTATCATATTACTGTTTATTTTTCTAGTTACAGCTTTGTTTATGATTTTTTTTTAAATTGTTGTTTATTTTTGTAGCTGTGGCTTTGTTTATGATTCATATGGGTTACATTATTTTATGGGCATATTTCTTCTTTCAATAAATTCTGGATTTATACATTCATCTAGAATTTCTCGTATCAAAAATGTAATGGATTTAACATCTGAAAGATTTTACATTAAGAACACGGTGTCTGGTTTTTACTTAATTCTAATGGGAAGCAGTTACTTTCCGACATTGTATATTTCTTAATCCACTAAAAGCCCTAAATATTACAGGGCTCCACTTGTTTACTTTGTGATAAATATTTTTTTCATAAATGGGATTTTGACATGTAAGCAGTCTTAAAACTATAAATTAATTCCAAAATGGACTGAATTCCCCAGTCTTTGAAGTCTTCGGCTCACAACATTTATGAAAAACGCACAGTACAATAAATACTATGGTCTGAATTTCTTCAAACTTGGACAGAATTGGCATAAAAGTCTCTATTTGGATTGCAACATCATCAAAGGAGAGAAGCTTCTTCTCTGTCAATATCTCAATTAAATGCCTGTAATCGCGTTTGTATGTGTGAATATTACCTTCTCAGATAGAGGAATTCATATACAAATGTCAATCATCTCAGACATTGATAAGTGTCAGATAATAAGGGAACAGATATTATTTTTCTATCTTACTCTCCGTATATTTCTTGAGAAATCTTAGCCTACTTTTGGATTTTAATATTGTATCTGATTAGAACACCGCAATTTACCATATGGGGATTTATTTCATCCGTCACAAACGTCCACAAAAATAGGTTCATACCAGATTTAATTCTATTTGCAAAAACGTGTGTTGGGTTTTCTTTTTTAAAATACCCAAGAAAAGAAATACAAAAGTTCAGTGTTGTCTTTTCCTAAGCTGTAGGCTCACACGAAAGTCATTTTTATATCAACATTGTCTATTTTGGTCATACGTTTCCTTTTGTTAAAAGAATATCCCTCTTAATCTTAAACTGAACCAAAAATTTGCTATTGAATCAAAGTTAACCTCTGAACAGTTTTTAATGCGAAGATCTTAAGTGATTTCTCAAGTCAACGTTTCAGATATTTATTTTTTCGTCAACAGATATCCATTTCATGATGTCGAGAATTCAATTATTATGCGGCAAATTTTATTGATGCAGAGAAAGAATCATGTACTTTTCTTAATCATAAGTTAAAGGTTAATTATTTTTGCATGTATTAAATAACAATTCCCCCATGTGCCGCATTAATAAGGATATTTTTATACACGTATCGTAATTCAGAATAGGTATTAACATTCATACTTTCTCAGCTGCATATATTAATTCAAACGTACTCCATGGAAAAAAAAAAGAAGAAATGAAATTATCATTGCAATCTAATGAAAGGTAATGATAAAGAAACCTAAAAAAAAAAAAGATGTGACCCAACTGGTACTTAAACTTTCCAATGTATAATTTACAAAAAATGGCATCAAAATTTTAAATTCAAATTTGACGTATAATCACACGTTTATCGTAAATATCTCTCACTCTCTTACTAAGATCAAAGTGGGCACTTCTGAGCGGGTTACGAGAAGTGCATTATTCTCAGGCACAGCGAAGGAGTTCATCAGCATACAAAACATTCACCGCTTTTTGTTTCCTTTTCAAAATTTACGATTTTTTAATGGGAGGCAGTTGCTCAAATAACTTTTAAATTTCAAGAGAGAAAACTTCAAAGAAAAATTTAGTTTTCTTACCCATTGTGCCTCGGTAGAATGCTTGAATACATCAACTTTTGTCCTTTTTCCTTTCAGAGATAAAATTTTATTCTGTTTGTGAAGTTATTTTGTTTTTGCTGAGAAAAGGAAATGAAACCAGAAACTAGAAGGCATGCTACATGTATCCTCCCCAAATCGCCATGCACCGTATGTAGCTAGAGACTTATAGATAAGGTTTCTCCGATTCAAACCGTAAATCCCTTTCACCCTATGGAAAGCTATCTGAAATCCTCAATAGAACACTTTTACCTTTATCAAAAAAGAAACACAAATATGAACACACGGTATATATGTAAAAGTTTTACATGCGTAAGCATGCTGGCTACAGCCGAAAGTCTTGGGTAAACCTCGACAGGTGAAAGAGATTTTGAATTTTCCTTTCTGCTATTGATTTTGGACGTAACTCACTTCATCGAATGTTTACAACTCTTTTTGTCCAAATTTGTCACGATACAGTTTAATGCAATGGTATTGAAATAACTCTGGTCCTAAGTTGTGTTTTGCTTTGAGGCAGATAATCTTAATGTTTCTTATAAAATGCACACTTAACCAAAAATTGGCTAGTTTTTTGCCTGTGGAGTCCAGAAATATCCAACTCAAATCAACTAAATGTTAACATCTTTCAAAACGAAGACACAGACAAATAAGTCATTAACCCTCTGAAGATACGACTTCTCTAAAAAATCAATGAAAGTTCACAGTCGCTACGTATAATGAAAATATTCAAAATACTTTAAGTTGATCTGATATTCCTGCTGCCAAAGGTCTACAGACAATAATCTATTCCAAGAATTGTTCCCGCCAGTAAATATTCCCTGAAGCCACGCACAGTAAAATACTTTAGTAGAATACCGATTTATTCATCAATGTTTATATCTTCGATCGAAGTTTCCGTTTTATTTGGTAATTTGAATGCATGTGTTCAACATTTTCATGCTGTGACTATTTGCCTTTCCAGTAGAGATAAAAGACGATTTTTCTCTATATTCTGTAGTATTGATAAAGTGCTTAGCTTTGTGAATATTGAAAATAAAATAAAAGATGCATTTAAAAATGCTGAATACGAGGCTCTGTATATATGTGATTAGTATACCCGGACTTTAAAATTACAAATTAAAGTGTAACAAAGAATGTTATTATTATATGGGGAGCATCCAACTAGTAGTTGTGTACATTTATTCCCTTAACGATAGAAATTGGAAAAATTGAACGATAAGTTAAATCTAACAGTAAAATGTCTTGTCATGGTATCATTAGTTACATAACTTTCAACAGATCAATGGTAGTTTTTAGCAATGTATCTTCCGGTATCTCTTTCATGTTAATCATAAAATTGTTTTCATATAGTTTTCGTCTGTGACTCATCAAAATCTTTGTTAATGTCCAATCATGGGATTAGAAAAATATTGTTTAGAAAGTCTTTGAATCTTAATTTAAAATGTTTTATCGGTTTGAAGATCATACTTTCTAATTAACGAATGATGTTTGCATCTCTAAAATCCTGCTGCATCATAGCATACAATCTAGATTGCACAGCTGATGCACAGGTTAGTAATTTCACCCCATATAAAGTTGATCTGCCAATCTCGAATTTCGCAACGTGGCATTGTCAGATCGCTTTTTGAATTTTTTTCAATTAAAAATGCATAAATACATAAATTTACGATAATAATATATATCTTTAATCGACTACATACTGAAGATAATGGGCTGATATTATTTTGTCTAACCAGTTTTTTCTTTTTAAGTCAGTTGGAATTTATTTTATAGAAATGAAATATGAATTTTTTAAAAGATAAATATCTTAAATATATCATAATCATGGGAATTTGTGCAACAGCAAACACCATAACAAAGAATGTCATGTTTATTAAGAAGACATGCTCTAATTTCTCAACCTACCTCGACGCGTAATAGCACAACCCGAGCACCAGTGCTCAAAACTCTCAACAACGCACTGGTCCTGCTTGAAAGGATTTTTTAAACTTTGAAGTTCATTTTTACTTCCTATTTAATCTGACATATCACCTTTGGTTCAAAATAAAAGACACCACAGAGTCTAACACATTTGTTTCAAATTTGGATATGTTACTAGAAAAATACATAAATGGCAACCTAACCTAAACATGTCTAATGTTTAAGTAGAAATATTCCATTACAATGTATCTTTTTAACATTGACGTTTTCTTTAGAGGTCTGTGTTTGCTCTGCTCCCTTTTTGTATTGTTCCCGTAGGCTTCTGAACTTGATTACTGTTTGGTATCTTATCTTTCATCAGTAAGGCAAATCTCAGCAAAAGGATGGGTGGAGAAGGACACTGATTTTTTTCTTAGAATGGGGATGGGGACCGGGCATCACAACTCGACTCTGCTGTCTTTTTTTGTCGTCTATCAAATTCACTTGGCACCAGAACGGAGATAATTTTTAACCATCTCCTTTCCTTCACTGAAACAATCAACTTGTTAAGGTTGAACTTCTAGCAGGTCCTTTTTATAAACCTTGTACAAAGTATTATTATTATATATGCTACTGCAATTTTTAAGATTTAAGTTAACATATTACATCTGTTCCTTGCGCTCGAATACGATCGAGGCAACCATTTTTTGTCTCGATCAAGCAAATGTCTCAAGTAATTTATATATTGATGTCATTTACAAATTGTGGCATCATCAACGTGGAACAAAGTATAGCATAACATCTGCTATTTATAGAACATGTTTATGGCCATTTGTTTGCTCAATTTCATATTGAACTGAATTTTGGTTTTGTAGATATAGAGATAATTCGCATACTTTTTGATCATCCCTCGGGACTTGGCTCTTCTTTGAACAAATTTGAATCCCTACTAATACTGGTCAAAATACGAGTCAGACTGTGTCAACCATTTTTTGTCACAAATCACCTGCACTTTGACGTTTCACACCGTGATGTCACAATCATGAAGCAAAACTTTACTTATGGAACTTGTGTATGACTATATGTGTGTCAATTTTCATTTTGATTTGAATTGCGGTCTTGTAATGGACAAGTCTCAATACGGCTTATCTTCGGTCCCCGGTTACTCGTCAAAAGAGATTGTTCATCAACTTTTTGACCACCCCTCGGACGTTCACCGTCAAGTTTGTTTGAAACTGGCCCACTTATTCTTGAGAGGGCGACGGTGTAAAAAGTTAAAAAGTGACAAATAGATTGACGATTAACAAATGATGATCACAAAAATTCATTCAAGCCATTTGTATAGATCTATACGCTGGAAATTAGATCATGACATCTAACATACGTGTACTAGTATGGAAGTGGTTCTGTGTACGAACTAGCCTGTTGCGTCATTCCCTGCACCCGATTTTTATTAGTTTTAAATTTTAGCATGAGGAACATCATAGGGGCCGGTAGCATACTATATTTGATTTTATGTAATCACTATATGCGAGGCCAGGGGTGATCAAAAAGTTCGCGAACTATCTCTATATTTACAAAACCACAATTCAGATCAGAATTAAATTTGGCACTCATAGCTCTAGTCATATACATGTTCTATAAATAGCTTATGTAATAAAATGTTTTGCGCCATGTATGTGATGTTACAGTGTGAAAATGACGTCAATATGTAGATCACTTGTGACAAAAAAAATGGTTGACTCAGTCGTACTCGAGCAACGAAGGACCGTAAAATTAAACGTATATCTAGGAAATTCCTTTGCAGTAGTACATAAAAATTTGTACATGGTTTATGAAGACAAATGACTTGCAAGAAGTCAAGTCATTAATTGGATTGATTGTATAAGTGAAGGACGGGAGATGTTTAAAAATGATGTTTGTTCTATTGCCCAGTGAAAGCAAAATGAGAAAGAGATGTGTCCTTTGTTAAGAATTTGCAAACTTACAGTTAGAAAAATAGTTGAATATCTTTAACAATAAAATAATCAATAGATCCCTAAATATCGTTCACTTTAGACTTTAAAGATATCAGATATGATGAAAAGGAGGAACCCATACTTTACCAACATCGAATAAAAGACCCTCCAAAGACAAGTGACTCAGGTTATGATGGTCACAATGATCATTCTTGAAAATGATATCCTTATCCACCTCTACTATTGCCAAGATTTGGTCATTTCTGACAAATAGACTGTTTTTCTTATGAAAAGTAATTTGCAGGACTACATAAAAAAATCTACAGTGAAACCCTATATCATTTCTTTTATCGAAGTTATTCAATTAGTTTACTAACTTTTTGATCACCCCTCGTATATAGTGAAATCAAATATAGTATAATACACGTTTCCGGTCCCTGCGAAGAACACGTATTCAAATTTACAATCAATGAGTTATTATCTGTAGAAGAAATTGAAGAGAATATTATGAAGGTATTTATCATTGTAATTTATTAGAAGTCATTACTTTTTATCAAATTCACAGCATTACTGTCACAGCTGTATCCAATTCTTTACTTTACCACTGAAAAGTTTTTTTCCCATCTACTTTAAATGAATATTTTTCAAATTCATGTTTAATTGCATTCATTTGCTTCATTTACAGTATTGTAAATTTTCTTTTCTTTCCAGACTCTGGTTAGGACTTCATATTTGGAATGACGTATTCTGATCGACCCGACTGTATATATTATAGATCAACAATATGAAGTGCAAATTCAAAATTATGGCATAATACTTTTAGAAATAACAAAGGCAGTTTATTGAACAAATTTAATACAAAAATGGATACTTTAATGATTTGGTATTTAGTCTTTAAAATGTTTATGGTCGCTCAGAACGTAACAACTTAAAGATAAAGGCAATCAGCAATTAGATACTCGTACTCGTAGTACGTCATTTGAACAAATAAAGCCAATGGTTTAGCAAAGTCAGGAGACTACAATGCTTACGTCAATACCATAAAATTGATACGTCACTAAATACTTTTTACCAATAAATTCAATATCTTCAATAATTTTACTTCATCTACACATTTTGTCTAAATTTACTGTGTACTACTCTTCTCTTTGTCTTTGTTGGTAATCTGTTTTTGTTTAAATAGTATGTGATAAGAAATAAAATGAAATCATTCAGGATGAAAAAAGGCAACTAAATGCTCCTAATAGGTTTACAACAGTACTGATCTCGTTAAAACAAATTCCTAGGTTTGGAATGTACTAAAGGCAGACCATTTCAAAATAATAATTTATACATTTACTTAAAACAATTAAAACATTAACATTTATTGAACAAAATTAAACTACAATGTTCACAGTCATTCAACGCATGTACTCAACCACATCAATTCAATATAACCATAGAACTCACGTCGACAATGAATCCAATCTTGGGCAAAAGTTCAAACATTATTTTTGAAAAAAGAAGAGAAACACATAATGCATACTTTCGAGAGCATGCATTTGATTATGATGGCTAAGGAGAGGCTACTCTTTG